GTAATGAAGAAAAACTTTAATATAAGTTAAACATAACAGCAAATGTACAACGTTTCGACAAGGTTTGTACCTGATGATGACGAAAAGTTGTACATTTGCTGTTATGTTTAACTTATATTAAAGTTTTTCTTCATTACACATTCAAGCCGTCTCCAACCATTATTGCACTAAGGAATGTTTTAGGCTTCAACGTCACAGGTTTTCTTTTCAATTTTACCTTCCATGAGAAAGAAAATAAATCTATGACACACACACACATATGTATATATATATATAACTAGCACTTTTGTTATAATATAGTGTAACATTTTCTAACAATATTATTGCTCGTGCTTCCCTAACCTTATGTTACACATTATATTTCATTTTTTTTAAATTAAACGCTGATACAACACTCTTTTCGTGTTTTAACTATATTTTGTTTATTGTAACCAAAATGAAGGCATCAACTCCAACTTTATTTCTGTTTGTTTAACGTTTTGATATCAAATATATCCATTAGTTATTTTTAGAAGCAAGGCTTTTAAAAGAGTTAGCCGACTATGTTAATGTCACGAAGAAGATGCTTTATTTAAATAAAATACATTAGTATTGTGATTTATTTTATCTCTAATATGATACTAGCGTCACCACAGTTTTAGTTTTAGCTTATTTAGTTTTTAAAGTAAACTTTAAAATGTTACTCTATGTGTTCACACTGAACCTAGACAATACTTGGCTTATTGACTACCGCAGCCATATTGTGATTCCGAGGATTCGTGGTTCGAAACCCGTTGTCGTAAAATTGTGCTCCACGCTTTCGAACTGTGGGTTCGTTACAAAAGTGACGGTTAAATCTCACTATTTGATTGTTGCTGTTGCTTGTTATTAAGCACAGAGCTACACAAAGAGTTGTCTGTGCTCTGCCCACCACAGGTATCGAAACCCGGTTTCTAGTAGTATAAGTCCGCAGACACTATTTGATCAAAAAATTATAATATTAGACCGAGAGCTGGTGGTTGGTACCTTTGCTAGCTGCCTTCCTTCTAATTCATAGGTTCTCCAACTTTTCAGAGCTTGGACTTTCTTTCATGGGCAGTTCCACACATAAGGTTTTTTTTTGTTTGTTTTTGTTTTTTTCAAGTTAAAATAAATATGAAAAACGTAATTCAACTTACCGTTCACGACTCACAGTTTGAAAATACGCACTCTAATCTGTCAGCTCAAAATTGGGGATGACAATATACAAATAGATCTTGCGTAGCTTTGGATGAAATTATGAAATAAATAAACACACCGTACCTCTATTTGGGTATATCCATACTTTGGTTTGTGCCCGTATAATTACACTCTTTTATTCACAGATTTAGCAGCTTTTTTTCTGTTGTTATTTATTCATGTAAAATGTTGTATACATTATTTCTAACTGGAAAAACTACACTAACATATATTTTCTCCTTTCCTTAGGTATGATGCCACTATGGTTGTTCATCTTAGGAAGGAACATCATTGAAAACGAAACGGTTGAAGTTCCGTTCGTTAATATCATTACTACTTTGCTAACTTTCATGGGACCCTTATTAGTTGGTGTACTAGTTAGACATTTCAAGCCGAAATGGGCAGAATTCTCTGCCAGAATTATCCGTCCGTTCACAATAATATGTCTGTTGTTCATTATTACTATTGCTATAATTACGAATCTTTATATTTTTCAGCTCTTTACATGGAACATAATTTTAGTTGGGTTTGCTATAGCATGGAGTGGCTACACAGTTGGTTGGGTACTTGCCTGGATTCTGAGATTCAAACGTCCACAGATTGTTGCTATTTCCCTTGAAACAGCTATGCAAAATGCGACAATTGCCTTTTTGGTTTTGTCAACAACAATGCCTCAGCCCGAAGCCGACCTTACCACTGTTCCTGTGGTAGCTCAAATACAGCTAACAACTTTTCCGTTGTGGTTTCTGTTAGGTATTGTAACGGTGTTCAAAATGCTCACTGGGCGTAAAAAATCTAAAACATTTTCACACGAGATGAAAGAAAAGAAAAAATCTAAGAACATTGAAATGTACGCATCTTTCAATAGACCAATAGAATCAAAGCCGCAGATTGAAAAATATTAATGTTGATTTGTTTGAATGATATTTGAATTTTATGCAAATTAGTAAGAGTAACGTACCAAAACTTTGTACCTCGTTAACTAAAGTTTAATTTTCATTGCTTTTTCTCCCTTTAATTACGAACAGATTAGGACGTTTAGGTTAGTCATAAGTTCATATACTACGTGAACAATGCTAAACAATCCTCGTAATAAAGACCATATAAAATAATTAAATGAAAAAAAATAATAATAATAAATCATACTATATTATTAAACATTTTAACCAACATTGCCAATTAAACTAACATTTAAAAAATGGAATACACGTTACAAGATACATTGTTCTTCACATCAGTATAAGGAAAATGTTACATACCTTCCGCCAGGGGCGTCGTGAGCCAAGCACAGGTCCCAGGATAAACATCCTCGCCAGGCCCCCTTTTTCTCTCATTTTAACATTTTAAAAAGTTATTTAAAAGCTAGGCAAAATCATAGCAGCAGCCATTTTTAGCCCACAGTATAAGCGTAAACACGTGCTTTACGACATAACCAGGTCTCATTCGTACGCCCCCCCCCCCTGTATAACTGTGACAACTAAAATTCATGGCTGCGACACATGTTATTGTGTAGCTACTCAATCGGATAGCGAGGCGGTAAAAATAATATAGTAACAAACTAATGTTTATTTAGATAACAATAACAAATTAAATGAATTATAGAATCATGTCATAAATAGTGTCAGAAGTCTGATGAAACTGAAATGTTTGAGTTTTCAATGAAAAGTTAAAATTCCTTTGCAAAATAGTGTTTATGTGTAGTTAACCACAAAGCTACACAATGGACTATCTGTATTTTGCCTGCCACGGGTGTAGAAACTCTATTTCTAGTGTTGTAAGTCCGCAGACATATCGTTGTACCACTGGATGGGGGGGGGGGGCATTCGAGATAAAATATATATCTTTGAAATGAGCTATTACATTCTCATTTACTTTTGTGTGTTATCTGTATAGAACTTGTTGCATGGCAATACATTTCTTCTATACGAGTTTTAGAGCCTTATTGCTCCTGAGGTCGGCTGTGACCAAGTGTTTAGCGTGGCATTGCGCCACTGGGGGACTGGAAATTAGTGAGACAGAAACCTCTTTCGTAAGCATATCTATTGCATTAATGATTCATTTGTTGACAGAATAATGACCCGATAATGTGAAGCTAATTAGAAACAGATAGTGTTTACTTTAATAGTGTATAAACAAAAATATAAACAAAAAAAAAAAAACGTTTGAAGGTTTCGAAGAGTTGATGAATGCCATCCTTGAGTTGAAAGCATTTTATCTTTACGAGAACATTCTGTATTTTTTATATCTTTGTTGTATACTTTATGTGTAAATATTAATTTTGCAGATAATGTATAAGCAGAAGTATTACTAAATATTAAATTCATGTTCGGAGTAACTACCGTTAAATATTTTTCAATATACAAACGTTGCATCACATATCTGATCAATATGAAACAAACATCTTTCTTTCTTTATTATTCATTTGAGTACGTTTAATAAAACTGAAAGTAAAAACTATTTTTAAACGATATACTACTTTATGAAACTATCAATTACTTGTTTAAATTACAAAATACCAAAATTATAATATAAACGCAGGGTATAAACAGTAGATGGCGCGACCAGAGTCATTTGGTTTTGAATGTTATAAATTTCGCGCAAAACCATCCATAATTTTGCAGTGAAAGGCAGCTAGTCATCACTACCCACCAACAACTCTTGGACTACTCTTCTATCAACAAATAGTGGGATTGACTGTCGCGTTACAATGACCCACAGATTGCGAGTCGTGCGCTGCACCAATGTCGTTTGGTAATTCTTCCTAGAAGTGAGCTGTTTATATATTTATTCAATATTAAAACGCTTTAAATAAATATTTTCGTTTTAACATACGATGCTCTTTCGGTAAATAAATGTCATTTTAGCATAGAACAGATAGCAGTTTACCACTGATATTATGTTGCTTGTTAACCCGAAATCTATCTATACGAAACGTTTTAGTAAAAGATATAATGTAATATAAAAATTATAACCGATTTTAGAATTGTTAGTATAATTAAAGAAATATTTAAAGCATTCCAAGGTATTATACACCTCCGTTCCATTGAAATAACGTTCTATGTTAACCTACAATGTTGTAATACTAGATTACATGTAATTTCCAAATAATAACAGATGGTTAAGTTGTAATAATGAACTTAGTGTGACGTTTCCAAGGCGTACCGAGCTTTTATTACTGCTCTGTGCTAAAGCGTCGTTTCTGAGCTTGTTTCAGTATAACAAATCATCATTGAAATAATATTGTTTGTTAACTCGAAATTATTTGTACAGTGTATTTTAATACTAGATGAAATGTATCTTTAAAAGGTGATTGTTTTTTGTTTTATTTTCTGTTTTATAATTTGAACAAACTGAATATTTACAATTTTAAATTAATATATTAGATATCCTATATTGTAATAAAATAGATTCACAAATAATATAATACGATGAAGTAATAAACATATTACTCCAAATTTCAAAACGTTTTGTTTTTTAACCAAATAGACTTTTTCTGGGTGTTCCAAAATGATGTCGTAAGGAAATTCGTAACTATTGTTGATGTGGTTTTAGTGCAAAGATGCGCAATAGGCTATTTGTGCTCTGCCCACTGCAAGTAATAAAACGCAATATTTTAGCGTTTTATGTCCTTGAAGTTATCGCTGACCCACCAAAAGACATTAATAATGAGGATAGCATCACTCAGTATTTCCAGGTAGTCGCCCTCCCAAGTACTAACCGGACCCGACAGTCGGTATTTTTGTTAAATACCAAAACACCAAACGTTCGGAGATGACACGAGCCTCTTCGTACATTATCATGCATTTCGTGACAGTTAATCGCTGAAAGAGGAGTAGTCGATTGCAGGTTTTGCATGATGGACTACCACAGAGTCTGAATATTTTATCAGAACCACTCAGCTTCGGGTGCTAGCCACTCACCTACAGGGAAAGGACGGGAAAAAAAACTCAGTGAATTAAAATAAATTAAATGCTGAAAATATGAAAGAAGGAGAAGTAAAAAGACCCAATGCTCTGACAGCTTACCCTAGAGTGTAATACTCATGAAACACCAATGACCTGTCGATGTACATCCTTGCAAATACGGGCGAGGAAGTAAAGGAAATTCTCAAAAAGTATATGGACATGACATCGAGAATTGAAATGTTGGTTCGCTCGAATAAACACGGTAGTATGGCGGCCTGACTCCAGTCATAATCCTACTTAATACATTATTGGTCAAAGTCTTATTACATTATCTGTAGGTCGGGTTTCACCTACATTAAAAACATATAGTAAAAATAATATACTATTGAATGAAAAATAATGAAAATGTACAAAATTGCTACTGTTCTCCCACCGTGTTTAAATATCCTACTAACCCATATCTTTGTGTGTGTGTGTTTGCTATATGCATATGCACACGTACGTATTTATATATGATAAATAAACACAAAAAAAAAAAAAACATAATGCACAAGTCAGTCAAAGTACCTATGCCCGAGAAAATAAAATTTTGAAGAAGAAAATACTACTGAAATACAGTTTTGAAATATTGAATAAAAATAAAACTTTTCAATCTGTATAGCTGTTTTGCCTAAATAGCGCGAAGTCAACTCGGGAAAGCCGACTTCAGCAGATACAGAGTACAGTACACAGAAGTAAATAAAGTTAAAATGTAGTATGCTGCTTTAAGAAAACTAGAAACTCGAGAATATGACAAACGTAGAAAAAAAAACACTCTCTCGACTACTGTGGGACAAAAGGTACGAGGTATAAGTCGGGTTAATAATTTGTCTTTCCCTTTTTCAGGTGCATTCATATATGTGAAAGTCGACTTAAATACTGTTCACTACCATGCCCACAAGAGTTAAAAAACATTAGGCAGCTTGTAAAGTCGCAAACAGCCCCCCCCAAAAAAAAAACAGCATAAGTTATATTGTATAGGGATTTGAATATGTTTCACCAAAACGATTTCGAATATGCAAATTAGCAAACCACATGATAGTCACAGCCGATATAAAGTCGGAGTAGAATGCATGTATCAGAATTATGTTTTGATAGTGTTTGACGTTTTGTAGGTAGTATAAAGCCACCAAAAAATAATCACTTTAGGGAAAGGTGTATAACATTCCTTTCTATGCAAAATATTCATACACTCACATCATAAAATTTGTTCAGATCAGGGCTTTGGAATTTTCAAGATGAGGATATCCGTTGTATTTAATGTCATTAGGAAAGAAATGAATATGGATCAATTTGGGAAACAATAAACATCCAAATAAAGACCTGCAACAAGTCGTACCCCAGCCGTGGTAAACAAAAGTGTAGCAATTTATAACAGGTGAGAATACACTGACACATAGTTCAATGGCAATTGCCATCCACGTGCCAGGTAAAAGTATGTAACATAATCAAGAAGGATTCTCATCTGTAAAGGCGACACAACTCACAGGTATACAAGAATTGCTATCATGATATATCTGTTTAATTGGCGCTTGTAAACCATCATCCTGATACATTAGATGAATTATGGAAAGCATATGGATAGATGTGGTGTGCTGTAGCCATGACAGCCTTAAGGCGGAGGTTTTGTTGCAATGGAAACTACTCTACAGGGCTATTATCAAGGTGCATAGTCGTCAGACAGAACATGACAAGAGGGGGCGACATGAACTGTAACGACGTGATGCGGCTCTGAAATCGCTTCAATACAACGTACTCAACCTCTGTATTCTATATATGTTATATTCAGTAAGGTTTCCACTGGAGTGATTCAACTGTAGACTTCTAGCAACAACTCTACCGTTGTTTGTTACTACAGACCTATGTTAACATCGCTTATTGTGGGATCATAGAATGATTTTAATAACTACTAATGAATTTGAAGAATAACTTTTAAGATAAGAACAGACAAATACAAAAAGATCAGTGATGTGATAAGTAATTTATGGTTTCGTGGGAAAGTGGTTACGTATAGCTCTTGCAGAGAGTAGCATAGAATTTAGTGTGAAGTTTGAAAGATTTAAGAACAAATAATTGATTTGGCGTTTTTTTTTATAATTTCTTTAGACATTCTTTTCCTTCTTGAAAATGTTTTCATGTTAAATTATATTGTTCGAAAGTTACGGCAATTTTCTTCTGTGACAAGATATCAAATAGGCTCGAATATACTTCAATTCTTATTTATTGCCCCCCCCCGTGACACAGCGGATGTCTGCGGACTTATAACGCTAGAAACAGGGTTTCGATACTCGTGTTGTGCAGAGCACAGATAGTCAATTGTATAGCTTTGTGCTTAACTTCAAACAAACAAACCTTATTTATTGAATACTAGCTGCAGTACCAGTCCCCTGGACGGAAGTTATGTAAATTCGTGATTAAAGAGAGGTTATTTTAGGACATGAAAAGTTGCTTTCCTTATATGTAATTGTAAAAAAACGCAAAAACGCCAACAAAAAAATTCCAAAACACAAAATGTGAAACCACAAATTTGCACGTATCTCAGTATCTCCTAACAAACATTCATGCCAAATCTGGTGAAGATCCATCAACAGAGGGAGCAGTATTGGAAAACAAACACCTATAAAAACCGCAAAATGCAAAACTGAAAATTTGTATATATCTCCCCATGGACCTAATGAACCTCCATACCAATTTTGGTGAAGATCCGTCCACACCTAGCGAAATAGTTACATGGACATAGAACAGACAGTACTATTATATTTATACAGGTTATTGCTAAGTTTACTGTATTCAAACAATGCATATAAACAAAATAACTTACAACTTATTGAACAAATATATTTATTGTATATATATATATATATAAATATTAGATTTTAAATGATTTTAACTAAGAATATTGTTAGTAAAAATACTGTTACCTAGCCTAACCTGACAGTGTCACGCTGTTACCATTTTTAAAGGTCAAGTCTTAGGCCAACGATAAATCATTGTTAATTTATGCGGGATAGCTTTACGATTTATAGCTGGTAGTGGTGACGTTGCACTTGGCAATATGAAGTTTCAAAGGATTTATGTCAATTAAAATTAATCAGTTTTAAATTGACTGGAGATTTCTGATAAACCATCGAAAATTGAAACACAACAAACTTTTGTACATTTCAAGACATAGAAAATGGTAGACAAACTAAATCAAACTATACTAATTTTTAAGCCGCAACAAACTACAAAATATTAACTTTTTACCGAGAAACTGAATTATATAAAGGGAAGCAACGTTTTGTTGCATATTTATGTTTAAATATATATATTTAAGCAGTGTTTTCTAGCTATATATTAAGTTTTGTTTGAAGTCAGTTTTCCAGCAAATCCTCATCTTCAGCTTGATCATCAGCATACTTCGAAAATAAATGCCCATAGTTTCATTATTCAATATCACTCTTTTAATTTGTAGGAAATATAAAATGGTATCCAGTGCTGAAGACTAGGATTCGGAGGAAAAACAACTAAAAATCAAAATAAGCCCAAGATTTTGTATCAAAAAGTGCTTGAATGTCTAAAAATGGTCAAAAGCTGTTAGGATGACGTATACTCAAAGAAGGAACGAAAATACACAGGAAGCGAGATTTAGGCTCACTTCAAGCAAATCCACAGTTTCAGGAAGTCAAGTAAGTAATTTCCAAGGTACTTGAGTAGGAAAACCATCAACAGCCTAGAAAAACAGCCCCATTTGTCAAAGAAGGTCAAATAAAGAAAGAAAAAGGATTGACCAGCCATGACTGCAAAGGCTTCAACTTCATCCCTTATGGGGCCTCAACCTTCGTTTTTTACTCTAGTGATCAGATTATGGATTCAAGCTTGTTGATAGAGCCATTTACCAATATCCTTGCAGCTTATGAGCTGCATCAGTGCGAACCCTAGGCAACATGTTGGTACACCAAACAGATCTACATATCTGTATATATATAAAAAGCAGACCCTGTTCGTAATGCTTCATTTGTCGGTAACGCTCAACACTTTGTTGTAACGTTCAAATTGGTCCAGTGGTTTGTTTCCAGCGGAAGTCTCGAGTTCAAATCCCAATCTTAAGGTAGTTCAGTTCAACAAGTAAGTCTTATTTTCACATGTAAATGTAACAAGGGGAAATAACAGAGTTACCACCAGCATATACAGGAATCACCATTCTGTCACTATGCTGCCAGACATAAGATATAATTATCACCTATCACAGAAAATATCCACTTACTTCACCTAATTAAATCGTGCTATAAAACTTTACATCCAAAAAGAAGACTTAGTCATTGAATTGAACTACCTTAAGAACATAGTACTATCTAGAGCTTTTAACCCCCAATATCATAGATAGGGCTTGTATCAAACTTCAAAATAATGAAAAATATTATGATAACTAACTCTAACCTTTCATATATCGACAACACAAAACACAGCAAATTTGTTTCATTCTCTTTGGGGGCAAAAATTGCTAACGAAATTACTAGACTTTTTAATAATTTGTGCACTGATGTAAAAACTGTATTCAAACCCTCACGTACAATTAACATCTCACTGCCGAACCCGAAATAATCCCTATTAAAAGAACAAAAACAGGGCATATACAGTATCCCATGTGAATGTGGAAAGAAATATGTTGGACAAACGTCACGCCACTTAGAAACAAGACGCAAAAAACACCAAGGTCACATACGTAGATGTGATTTCCACTTATCCGCCTTAACATATCATCAATATAAAACAAGTCACAAAATACTTTGGGACAAAATTCTTCTCCTACACCAATCAAAAACCAAAAAAGAAAGAGACTGTTTAGAAACTATAGCAATCAACAAAGCAAATGACAGTTCATTAAACTGTGATAATGACCCCAGCAACACCATCCGTATTTGGCAAGGTCATTTACTTGACCAGACTTGATCTTTACCTGTATCCTGTCACCTGCTTATACTATTTTCATCACATTTAATGCCTATTGTCTTTGTAACGATATATAAGCTTTGGCTTGCTTAGTATTAACCATACCTGAAAAAGACAAACCAATAAAACTTTTCATTATGTTTATAAATCGTAGTTTAGCTACCTATTGGTAAACATTAGGTAACTACACCGGCCCCTCGGAAGGTTAACATTTTCTTACACTGAAAATGTATTTCTAATAGGCACTTTCCTCACACAGTTCCCACCCTTCCTCCCCATTGACTGTGCTATTCGCTTTGAATCCTGCCACTTCTCGAAAGTGAGGATTGAGCGGCAATATCAGAGGAAGCTGGCTACACCAATATAGACAGCATAATACTATTGATAGAGGGTAATCGCATGCTATACAAATATTCAAAAGAGGCGCGAAATTTGTGGGGTACGTAGACTTGTGCGTTGAGCGTCAAAATGTTTTAGCAATGTGTGAGACAGAAAAACCTATCGGATATACATTTTCACTGTAATAAATGCTAACTTTTAGCAATTTGTCGCCAGAATAACTCAAAATCCATCTACATGGCAAGTATTAAACTTGAAAAGAAAAATTAACATTTATAACATAACAATAATAATTAGGGACAACAAGGGTCCTGTTGGTCTATCTAAGCTGGCCCATCCACTTAACTAAACTAAAACTATTTAAAAAAAATTCGAAGTCCGCCCTTGTCATTTACATATATGTCAAGCCTTTTGTTATACTCACGTAAGTTTACTTCCTCTATCACATTTGAAGGCAACCCTTGTCTTAGCTGAAGACTGTTCCTACCTTATCTAGTCACACTATTCTTACCATTAAGTATGAAAAAAGGTGATGCAGCAACACTATTAATTTCCTTAACAATCTTAAACACCTTAATCAGATCCCCTCTATTTATTTATTTTTTTTCAAGAGAATACAAATTTTATCATTTACAAAAAGAAAATAATAAAAATACGTGCATGGCCAGGACTTGTTACAAACGTTAATAAATAACACCTCATAAATATCCATATTATTAATTTCAATAAATAAAGGAATTAGTGAAGAGACTCGGAAGAAAAAATCATAATACCGAAAAAACGCAATATTCCAAAATTTAAAAACTTCAAGATCAATAACAATATCAAGCAATAATCTGCAAAATTTGTTTTAACTATATCTCATGAACTACCTCAGTGTTTTCCAACGTGGTTGGTACCGTCCCCCAGTGGGCATTTTTAAAAGTCAGGGGGAAGTTAACTTTGAGGGGCACAGGTGGGCAGACAAAAAAGTTTTGAGGGTTTCAAGGTTATATTTGTTAAAATTAAACCATAAGAATTAACTGACTGTTATTGCCTTCGCTCCCAGTGCCACAGCGGTATGTCTGCGGACTTACAACGCTAGAAACCGGGTTTCGATACCCGTGGTAGGCAGAGCACAGACAGACCATTGTGTAGCTTTGTGCATAACTACAAACAATTATTGCATTACAATTTTCATTTTAGTAAAATATTTTAATAATCTAGAAATTTATTAAAAGGAGGCATGAACGCTCATTGTTTGCTGAAGGGGCGCTGCAGCAAAAAAGGTTCGGAAACACTGAGCTAACTCTTAGTAGGGTTCGTAATGAGTGGTTACGTTACAGGGTTGCGTATTTTGAACACCTAATTTACTTAACCTTTTACAATATTAATATCCATATGTCAATGCTAAGAGAATCTTGTGTTAGTTTCATAATGCAAACATACTTAAATTTAATGTGCTCTAGCAAGAAGGTAAGTTAGAAGTTTAATTTAAAAAAATATTCACAGTTGAAGTAAATAACTGAGTTTTAAGGAATAACAAATGAACGGTAAACAAAATAATAGTAATAGTAGAATTTACTATTTCACAAATTTGTTTTAAGAAAACTCGTTGTACGTGTTCATGTAACTTGTAAGTAGAAATACTTTGTTGAAAATACTCAAGTGTGTAGAACTAGAAAATCCATCGGGAATTTTAGAAAGAATGGAAGTATCAATAATTAAACTCCTGAAAAGTTTAAAAGTGTTTCAGTGTTGTCACGTTTTAAATAATTTAATATAATTTTATATATGAGGTATATCATTACATACATGTATCAACAACATTAAAATGTTGGTAAAGATTGTCTTAGTCTCTTACTACAGTTATTGTTTCAAAATCAGTTGATTAGATTATGTCACTGTTTTATTATACAGATGGGAAAAAGATGAAATTTATATTGTGATATGAAAGTTACCAAGGTAATATGACTTTGAGATTAGTATTTTTTGAAGATGTGACTTTCTAATTCTTAACTTATTTCTTTGTAGTTTCACTGCAAGGTTTGATAAGAATATAAAGGTGAAGCTTCTATATAGTCATGGAAGTATTAAAGATGAAGATTGAACCCTTTTCTGATGAGGAAAAGGATGTTTTGTCAAATATCAAATTGATGAAAAATGAAGATGAAACTTTAACGATAACTAGTAGTAAGTGTATATGTTTAAAATTTTAATATTTTGTGTTTTTCCTAGCATAAGTATTGTGAATTTTACTTGTTTTAATTTAGCAGTGTGTCTGAATATTGCAACATTGATTGTAAATGTCATACTTTTTATAGGATTTTATTTCCTGTCTGAAGGATTTATATCAGTAAGTAAAATTAGGCATCATACTCTTGGTCATTTTGGTGTTTGTCAGAAACATGAATCCAGTGACACTTATGTTATCTTATTCTATACCATCACCTATGAGCGTAAATAAGGTAAAACCTGAGTACTTTCATCATACTTACCCACAATTCTCCACATACCCACCTTCCTTGTGGCTGATTAGATGTTTTGAAAGCTTCTTCTCTAATTGAGACCTTGTTCTTTGTTTGATTATGGAAACCCAATGATATTTTATTGGCACTCAAAGATCAATATATTTGGATTAGTCGATAGATTTAGAAGAGATCTGTTCCATATTTGTTGTGTGAGGTAACAATTAGCAAAGAGTGTATTTGGATCTGATTAGGTGTACAAGGATCCTATAAATGCTTTTTTGAGCTTAGTTTCTCAATGTACTTTGATCTGAATGGGTGTACAAAGATCCCATAAATTTTAAGGTGAATCAGTTTCATGTGAGTATGAAATAAATCCAATTAATAACAGCAGAGTTGAACAGAAAATATGTGGAATTACTGTAATTGAAAAGTTATATTTATCTGATTTGTAAGCTTATGTTAGAAATTAGGGAGACTAGATACATGCTGAAAAATAATGAACACAATCTTTATTTACAAAGAAAAGTAAAAAACAAATGTGTTCATACTTCCGTAAACACTCGCACAATCATATCTGCCAAGTTGGAATATAGTTCCACAGCTTTTCATCTCTTAGGATTGACTTCTGTTGAACTATATTGAAGCATGAACTTGGTTTAACTGAGAAAGAATAAATGCTTCTATCATGGATGAAAGAGTAGCTGCTATCTTTTATATGGAACAAAACAACTTCAGTGGTTTTTTTGGACCATGTGTTTATGCCAAAACTGGATAGAAACAGATTAAATCAGTGTTCATTTCAGGACACATCCTTGCGGCCATGTCATGGATTTCTCACTAGTGACCCCAAAAATATTTACAAATTTGGCCATTCAGCACATTTTCAACATCATGATAAATGACTCGAGTTCAGACATATAAGTATCCAATACTCCCCGAGTCATTTTGGTTTTTATTGGTAGTACTATAGTTATGCTGATACAACAGTGATATTAGGGATTTTATTGCACAAAAATTGCTTCCCTGGTTGTTTCCTATAATAATGGTTTCCCTGAAGAGTAAAAGTGAATGCGATCATACAAATCAGAAGAATATTCTTCATTTCATCATAAAAAAAATCAAAATTAAATGACACATCCCCCTTGGAAATTGCAGCAATATCTATAGAAAGTGAAATAAGAAATACCAATTAAGTAATGGTTCTAAAAAATTCCAAAAATACCTCGTCTCCCATGGTCCAGAAAAAGTGAAAGTAAACATAACCAGCAAATGTTTCAGCATGCCTGGTTAGAAAAATTTGGTTGGCTACCTTATGACTCAGTTAAAAATTTGATATTTTTTAAACTATCTATTGAACCAACCATATGGATTCATTTGTAAAAGGATCTTGTAATTCTTGGATCAACACATTGACCAGGCATGCTGTAGGAGGGGATCACAAATCGTGTGTAAATTATACCACTAAAACATGCAATGCAAACACAAGTAAGGTGAATTTTGAATGCTAAAGAAAATGGTATAATGAAGTGTATGAAAACTGTGTATCACTTTGTAAAAAATTTACCCTGTATTAAATTTGAAAGTATTATACCCTTTCTACTGGGACTTGGTGTCCCTGATATAGGCAAAATAGGTGTCTCTTATGCATCAGTGAACATAGCCAATGTGAAATAAAAGAAGATAACATGTACAGTGCTAGTAACTGTTTTGTTAGTTGGAACTATTCAGTATTGAATATTATGAGTTAATTTGAACCTTCAACATTTATTGTATAACAAATAGTTGAAACTGACTTGTATATATGTTGAGTTACGGTGTTTTCACTTAAACATAACTGGTGTCACAAATTGAAATGATCATAATTTTCTAATCACTTTAAGTTTCAATGTTTAATGTATCTTCTCACGGGATTAAAGCAAGACCAACATGTAAGTTGATTTGTTAGTAGTTTATTCAACTTGTATTAACATGGCCCCCTTTTGACTGCTGTATGGCCCCAAAATGTTTTACCTAAAAGAGACCTCATAGCCCCATTATATTTCATCTTGTAATGGACACTGTTAAATGCAAAAAAAAAGTGTATATTATAAAAAAAACAAGTAATAAAAACAAATGATATGGTTGCATGTTGGCAGGGGAAAAAACTTGACTCCATCTTAAAATATTTCTTGCTTTCCACTAATTTTAGAGACATTGTTTATTCTTTCAAAGTTCAAACTCATTCTCTTCAAATGTTTTGTGTTCATTGCATTAAATGTATTTTGGGCATGTTTTGTATCTAAACAATTTTGAAACCACAATCTACTAATAATATTATTTTTTCAAAATAAAACATTTTGAACTCTGTATGTTAAAAGTATGAAAAGCCAAATAAACAATTTAATTTTAATCTTTCAGTGCTTGGTTCTTTGCTTCAATTTCCTAGTGTGCTCTATAAACATTCTCATATTTCACTTTCTTAGATGAAGAAGACAATAGTCTGTTGCTTGATTAAGCTAAAGTAATAGCCAACAGATTTTTTTGTAAAGAAGCTTATTTTTGATAGCATTTTAATTGTAACATTAAGTTTAGCTCAAATGCAGCATGATTTTTGGTAAGATTATGAACAAAAAGGCTATTTCCAATCAGAGTTTTGAAGTATATGATGGTGCCCAATCTGTTAGTATAGTACCAGGTCTGCTATGAAAACAACTGAACCATATAAAGTTCAACATTCTTATAGCTTCTTTGTTCCATGAAACCTGACAAGTCTTCCTTTTGTTGAAGCAATTGGATATTTCTGAAGGATTGCTTCAGTATTGTTAGCATTTTAAAAGAGTAAGAAAGAAGTTATAATGATTTTCTGAGTTTTCTAAGTGAACGTATACATGAAGAAATGGTGTAAGTAAAACATGCTTGTGTTAGGAAATAAGTTCAAGAGCTAGAAAAGTACAGCTAGCTGGTTAAGTGGTATTGAGAATCGCTAGGTAGTGAATCACAAGTTAAGAGTCATAAAAAATGAAGTTACAGCAAGGACGCTGAGAAACACGCTAGTCATAAGTTTGACTGATAAGTTACTGATGCTGAGTTAGTAGTACAGTAAAAGCTACTATGATAACATTTCAAATTGGCAATTTGATGTGAGATCTGTTAGTCCAGACCAGTGTAATAGTATAAGTAAAAGGGCAATCAGAGCACTCACCATCACAGTAACCAATTATTTGAGAGTTTTGGTTCTTGTTTTGGATTAGCCTGGGGAGTTGCACAGATTGACCAATAGTGTGTTAGAACTACATGCGGGTAGTCAGGGATACTATTTGGAAAGTCTAAAGAATACAAAGAAAATATGTTTTAAAAACTCATGTCTGGAGCTAAAAATCAGTTCTCTACAAGAAGAATTGAGATTCTTCCCAGAGTCGCTGATAATCTAGAAATTATGAATATGAAAGTATCCCAGCTGTAATGATTTACTGGATCAACTGTGTTGTAAGTAATTAAACTGTTTCTCTCTTAATCAGTTTATGTGAATTTGGATAGATTCTAAAGAAGAAAATGAAAGTTAAGAAACTTAATGTTATATATGAATTATAATTATCATTATTGTTAAACTAAACGTGCTCTTTTATGAAGAGTTAACAAATGATTAAATAAGTGTATTCTATGTTAAGAAACTTAAATAAACTTTATGTATTGTGTTGAATATCAGTTTCTTTAGTCTAACCATAAATCTCGAGTTAGCAACTTGTGAGCCCAACTTGCCAATGCAATCCTCAAATAAATAAATTTGGTGTAATCGACAGTATAGTCGAAACTCCAAAGACTAGCCCTAAGGGCGCTGTCCATTACACAGTAGTCCCCCTCCTAAGAGACCCCCTCTTTTCAGTGACCACCCCAGGAACACAACTACCAATCAGCTTAAATGAGAAAATTAATGACTGTTCTATCATGATGTCACACAGCTTCCCACATGGTGAATTTATGTTATTAAATGCACTCACCTCTTTCTTATTTACATGCACCTACTTCACTCTATGACGTGTTTATAACCAATTGAAGGCATGTAATGTACCTCATGTTTTTCTTAGCCTTTGTGAGGTGTTTTTGTGGGAGAAATGGTCTTTCTGGTTTTAGTCTTGAAGAGAAGATGTAAGATGCAATAGTGATCGAAAAATGACATTTTTTTATAACCCAAATAGAGCTTAGTTAGTAAGCCTGATAAATTACTGGAATTCTGTGGTATTGCTATAGTAATTTATGATTCTTTGTTTCAAAATGCATTTATAAAAGTAAAAAAATAATGGTGAGTACAAACTACGTAACACTTGTAGATAGAATAAATCATTGTTTTCAATATTTTTTATTTACTGTTCTATGTATTAAGAAGTATGATAGTGTTTTAGGAAAAAAACTGGTCTAGTAGGACAAAGCTAAGACAGTTGCAGTTTGTAAAGGCCAGTTTCTTATTGGATACAGTAACATAGCTGTATATGTTCCATGGGATTAAAACTTCTGAATTATAAGTTAGACATGGCTGAAAGACCAGTAAAATATAAATAACAGATATACATTATTGACATATAATGTTACGAGATTTGTAGATATACATTATAGATGTATAATGTTACAAGATTTAAGTTATTTATAATAAACATTTGTGGTTTCCTGTTACAATTTATAGTCATTCTAGTGATCCTCTGTTCACAGTTCTCAATCATGAGTGCAAAATAAAAGGTTTTAACTCTGAAAGAAAGAGTAACTGTACTCAAGAAAGCAGAGGAAGGAAAGTCTTGTCATGCAATAGCACTTGACCTTAGAGTTTGAAAGACACAGATCCAGATTATTGTGAAAGAAAGGGGAAAAAATAATGAAGTGGGAAAGTGCTCTAACACCAAGTTCAGCAAACCCAGGACTGTAGGCTATGAAGATCTGGACAAAATTGTCTTGTCAGGGCCAAGAACATTCTTTTGAGTGGCAAAATGATTCAGGATTTCTCCCCCAAATCCTGAGTTCCTCGAGTACATCAGTAAAAGTAAGGCTGCAATAGAAAATTATATATGCAATTCCAAATGATTGAAACAAACCATAATCACTAACTTTCTGAAATATTAAAGGTTATTCTGTTACTGTATTATGTAGAATACTCGTCTATCAGGAGAACAGCATTAAGTAGATATACGTACACTATGATAACTGTGTATGTTTTGTGGTGTAGTTATTGTACTTACAAAGTATGTAGCTATATATGTGCATTGATAATAAAGTGTAATGCTGTAATAAATATAATTACAGTGGAAGGATGTCTTCTGTAGTGCTGTGTCCATTCTTGAAACTCTACCTTCCTCCCGAGGAAAGACCACCACTGACATGAACTGTTGGGTGGCCTTTCAATAGGGAGACTACTGTATCATCTCATCCATACTGATTATCTCCTCCTTGCTCACACTTAATATTTCAGTGTTTATCCTTTCTTTTACTTTTTCAACTTGGACCTTATAATTATCACTGTCCCACCCTTTAGCTGTTTTTTAGAGTACTCTGCCAATATCATCATGTATCCCCTTCCCATGACTGCTTATACTGTAGATCTGTGTCAGACTCTGCTAGCAAAACCATATTGAATATTTTGTCATCAAAAAGAACATTTCTGTGCTGAGTGGAAAGACCTTCACTTGTAAAATATGGACTACTCAAACTTTAGTTGAGGAATTAGTAGTATTTGCTAAATGACTGTTCAATAGTCCCAGTAATTGATTACTACAGTTCCTCAAATCATTGCATGTATAAGAAAAAAACGTTGTCAGTGGGTGCTGCCAGCCACTCGCCTTCTTTTTATTCAGCAATTCAAAAATGAAAAACTTGGTAGTTCAGTTAGTTGACTTCCCTATTATCAGCAGTTCAAAAATATATCAACAAACTTGGAATAATAAACAATTTACTCGTCTAAAATTGGGCAGAGCACATATAATCCATTCTATCACTTTGTGCTTCACAACAATCCATTTATTTTTGTATTTCTTTTCTTCTCAAAAACATAAACTTCATTAAAAAAATGATGATGTAGAGGTCTACTCTTTTCTTCTTTTTTGCTACTTCTGCTGTAACATACTAGTTATGTCAGATTCAAAGCTTATCAGTGTCTCCTCCTATAAAATAAATAAAATAATAGCCTTACCTGGAACAGTTCTTAAAATGTAAAATGACTGCCTCCAACTTTCTTGTACTTCATCTATTTGGTTAACAAAACAACCTAATGGATTTTTTATCAGTTGAAAATAGGACCCACAAAAGTGATATCAAAACCAGGAACATCAGTTTAACATAAGAAATAGCTAAATCATTTAATTTTTAGTACACAGAATTAAATAAGGAAAAAAAAAGTTTTATTCATGCAGTTAATAACAACATCTAAGAACATGAGAGCAAAGATATTAAAAGTTTAAATACAAGTGGTTACATGATTTGCCCATGTATTTGAAAATAGGAGAATTGCCACTATAGTACTGAGAACTTTCTACTTTCACACTTGTTATCTTGCTAATTATATTTAACAATTCATATTACAGCAAAAGCTACTTTTAAACAACAAATTTATAATGTTTTGGGCATGACAAATATTTTAATAATAAATTGTCTATCTGTTATTTGATTAGTTAACTGGAAAGCAATGAACCTCTTCAGACTGTACTTTGTTAGTTATCTGTGTTGGAATTTGCTGTATTACCATGCTGATATTGATAAAACAACTCAGTCTTATGCAGTGAAAATTTTGAACATAGTGGTTAATTTCAACTATCCAAATCCCAATTTAAAAAATTATGTTACATGACTTCTCAAGCCATGTTGAATCCCTAACAAATGAGATCACTAAAGCTGCTTGAAAAATAACATCTACATAGTCTCTTGTAACATGATACTCAGTGTTTAGGCAGTTTTGTGTATCTATGCGAGAACCATTTACAGTTGTCCAAGATGTGATTCCTCTTTCTGTGCTGGTACTGCATTAGAGGGTGATGCCTTCTGGAGGTGAATAGAGGATATTAGTTGGTTTCCCTCCTCAGCATGCATACCATTTTAAGATGTTAGGGGCATGACATTATCCTGCAATGGATGTATCATAGTTCCAATCAAGTGATGGTACATCATACTGCTTAATTTTCAGTCTTTTACTTCCTTACACAGTGTTCCCATTGCAATGACCTTTGCATTCTAAGAACCACCTCGCTTGTTTTGATTCTTCCTGAGTGTCTGCTGACTCGCTGCTTGCATGAATTTACTAGACTTGTTAGGTTTTGATGATATTTTAACTTTAGAATTATGTCTACTAATTACTTAGTTACTGTTCTTCTCCATGGAGAATTTTTTTTTATCAGATACAGGAAAATACTTTGCTCTCTTAATCTGTCTACCTGTTTAACGACCATTTGAGATTACAACTAAGAACGTGTGCGGCAGTCCAGTTATGTTTTCAGAGTCTGCCTCTTGCTGAAAATTTTCTATGCACCTATGTATCATGCAACAAACTATAGAAGTAACCTGTTCTTGCAGTTACATTTTGTGGACTTTGATTATGATTTTGTGAAGCATAAGTTGCATTGAATCATTTTATAGACAAACGTGCATCATTTGTACTTCTAGCTACAGGAAAAGTTGACTCCTTGGAAAAAAGTTCCAAACAAATCATTTTGAAGTTTGGTATAGCAAAAGAGGAGCAAGAAGAAAAATGTGATGGGTCATCAATGAAAAATGAGGTAATTTGTATATTAAATCTTTTACAGTTGTGTTGTTAAAGAAAATATGTAGTTGTAATTGTGTTTTTCTTGACTTTGTGTAGAATCTAACTATTAGTGACATGTTGGTTGTCACAAGCTTAAAAAATCCAAGTTTGCTGCATTGTTGTAAATAAACTCATTACAGTCTTTTTTCTTCTTGGAGGAATATTGCTAGTCCAGAAAAATTCAAATAGGCTAGTGAACACCTGAGTGTAAACATGTTTTATGGAGAGAAAGAGCCACTGCCCATTCAAAATCCTGGATTTTGTTTCATGTAATAATGTTGTCAGGTTTGTAAAACAAATTTACCTTCAGATGCAAGGAGAAGCCATGGGTAGGAGTGTGGCTATAGTCTTTGCTGTAAATTTCATGTATGCCATTGAGACTAAAGCAACCCATGACTGGACACTTGGTGGGAAACAGTCTCCTGCTCTCTGCCTGTATTTTATTGACAATATTTATGGGCTTTGGTATGATAATTTAAACAGCTTAATTCTGTTTCATCAGTTTCTAAGCCAGGTTCACAATGATATAAAATTTGCTTTTGATTATGTACAATTTCTAGACACATCTGTGACTGTAGTGAATGGTAAGGTGGTTAGTAACATACACAAAAATTCCTCAAAAAAGCTGCTACTTTTACATTCCTCTCTCATCACTCATGGGTCATGAAGAGGCCTATGATTTTTAGCCAGTTAACGAGCCTTTCACAGATTTGTAACATCCCTGATGATTTAATGGAATTGAGGGTAGATCTCTGGGAGATTTTAAAATCAAATGGTTATTAATTTAGACCCCCTGTTTCCAGCTCCTTTCACTGAAGCTTTCTCTCTTGAGGACTCTTCTGATCAGCCACCTTCTGCCCATTTTTCTGCAGTTAGTTACACGCGTTTGTAAAGTTTAGGAGTTGCAACCAGTTGCTTTTGAATCTACCCCTGCTTTGTTGTGCAATTGTTCTCAAGGGGATTACTTAGTTTTCCTCCTCCTGATATTGCCGTGCATGCAAGGAGGCTTGCAACACAATTATGCGAGGGTGTCACTATGCCTCCCACCTTGTTTATCTGATAAACATACCCTGGCGTATCATTGTAAGGATGATATATATATTTGGACACTCAAAGATTGGATCTGTTTTTGGATCTATGGGGTGCCAGGTACAAACCTGTTATTTCTCTTAACAGGTCACAATTTTTGTGGATTCTTTTGACCCTTTCTACTGTTTTAAGATACTTTTCTTCCCTTCAACTTTTGTCTGAAGCATATCACCGATCACCTCAACAATTTAATGATGAACTGGGCCATTTACTTGTCACTACTATGACACGTTTGTCCTCATCAGGACTTGTCTTGGTGTCGTGGTTGGTCCGATGCTGGGACTTGTTGAATCGTGATGCATTTTTGGAGGGTATTCACTTACCTTCTGCCCTTTGAGATTTACGGGAAGCACCTTTTCTTTGGCCTTATTTATTTGCTGGAATTCAAGAATCTTCAGAAGCCAGAATTGACACAACACACTTGCAGTCTTCTTTATCGTCTTTGGCTGCTCAACCCTATTCTACTTCCACTTGAACTTTTGCAGGTTCATTCCTTCATGTTTCAAGGCCCCCTCCTTCCACTCTTCATTCCATTGGTTTTCTGAATTGTTTCCGTGCTTATTCTTTGGAGATATTTTGCAGGCCTGTATGTGGACTTCTTCCAATACGCTCATGTCTCATTACCTTTATGATCTGGCAGTTTCCTCTTTGAAAGGACTTCGTCTTCCCCCTGTGACTGTGTTGACTACCTCTACTAGATTTTAATAGGGTGGTGAGTAATGTGTTATCTGTCTTACAGTTATTGTTCCTTTCTTTTCTAGGGTCCCTATTGATTATTTTTTTCTGATCCCACTCAATGGCGAGTGTTACCCAGTTGGGTATGCTTGTATTTAAATTCTACACTAGCATCCTTTATATCGGTTCTTGGTTGCAATGGGCTCTGTCGAGATGAGGTGTTCCATAAGACCATCCGGATGCAATTCTGGATGGTAATATCGTATTACAATATTTCTCATGGACTATTGTGAGTAAAGCTAAAGGGGATTTTGCCAGTCCCTGCTTATCTTAGAGCTGAAACAGTTGATATCAGTTTGCTTTTAAAAATTAGGGAACGTGGTTCACCAGTTGCACTGTCTCTGGAGGCCTGTTTCTCAGGGCTCCCTAACACTTATGTTCCCCCCTTACTTCTACTAGTAGAGCTCGGGAGTTCTTACCACACCCAGTTCCCAGTTGCTGGGGTGGTGGACAGAGGAGTTAACTTCAGAGTGTTGAGTTTTTGCAGTTGTCAGTTGGAGCAGGACCAACCTACTCTGGAGCCTACTTGTAAAACCAGTCCAGATTTGATGCTTAACTATCCGGTGTGTGTGTGTGGTGGTGTCTTCGTACCC